GGGTTTAATATTTTTCCTAGAACTTTTTTTTTTTTTTTTTTTTTTTTTTTTTTTTTTTTGGGGGTTTATAAAAAAAAAAAAAAAAAAAAAAAAAAAAAGCAATTGTGGCTGTTCTGTTTAATTAAGAGCTGGAGGACTCTGTCGACACACACACCTCCCCAAGAAAGCAGGGAAAAGGGCAACGCTGCACAGTTAAAGCTTTTACTCCCTTTTTATATCACTTATCACCAGGTCCAAGGGTCAGACACTCAGCTGAGAAGTTCTGGATTGAACTTTCTCACTGCTAGCCTCGCCCAGCTTGTTCTTCTCATCCTGGATCTGCCCTGGAGTCATTGAAGACACAGAGAAACCAGGGGGTTTAGCAGCCCCGGTGCAATCAATCTGCTTGGGAATAAGAGTATTTCAGAGGCCGGGTGCTTTTATTTCCCATTATTCCTTCTGGTCAGGGCAAAGTGCCTCTATGGAGGCAAAATAGTCTCAGTACAGAGGCAGGACACAGCTCGAGGCTGGTCCCCAGGAGATGGAGATCACAACCTCCACCATGCATCGCCTTAGAGGCACAGCGGGCACGGCACCAGGGAAGGGGACAAGGGAAGATCTTTGCTCTGGGACAGCTCAACACGGAGGCTGGGAGCACTGGTTTGGATGGCATTTGACAGCCATTTCTGGACTTTGCTCGAAGAGGGAAGAAGCCACACTTGAGACCAAGCGCTGGGTGCAACCAGCCAGCCCCTGCCTCTTGATAGCGAGGTTTACACAGAAAAAACCCCCACCAAGGGGGGCTTTTGTAGGGGTGGGTTTGCTTTTGATCCCCATCCCTCTTTCCACCCCTCAGGCCCCACTTTCTCGCTCCGGCTTGCTCCGATAGGAAGCCCAGCCATTCATCCAGCGCTAGGAAAAGGATGCAGGATTGATTTGACAAGCTGGTGGACACACTGAGGACGTCACAGTTACATGTGGGCACATTTTATTCTCTGGATGCACTTGCGCATTGTTTCTGCTCAACAGCCAAAGCTTTTATAGATTCAAAACCATTACCCTTCTCCCCCACCCCCAGCACGCTTCATTTTTTTTTTTTGCTATGTACCCCCTTTCCCACCCCTCAACCACTCGTCCGCTTCCACTTTGAGTATTATCTCTGCTTGGAGTCTGTTTTCTCAGAAGAAGCCAACTGACAATTAATTCAAAATTTTTTTTTTCTCCCAAGAACCATATAAATTACATGCAAAACATTGTACATAGAGATTAATATCAAAATGCAATACAGATCAGGTGCACTTTAAGCTGGACTCTAGGATATGGCAAACACACCAGGGTACATATTGCTTTGAAACCACCATTTTTTTTTTAAATGTCATGCATACCACATAATACTCAGTCTTTTGTTTTGTATTTTTCTGTTTTTATACAAAAATACCAGTGCTTATTATACTTAGTTACTGGAAAAGAAAAACTCAGATCTGTGTGCCCTCTTCAAAAGAAAGTTTTGTTGTGAGAGCACTAGATAAATATATATACACACACAAATGTTGGTTTAATACTGTATATATATATATATTTATTTAAAGGGAGGAAATAAACTAAAGGCAGTTTTAGCCATGGGCTTTGCTGAATGAAAACTGTATTTTTTTTTGTCGAGCAGGAGGATATGGGAGGGAGAGGACAGCCAGAGATCAGCCAGTCTTGGTGGCAGGGGACAGCCTTGGCAGAGAGATGCTGGCGAGGAACAGCCAGGTGCCAAGGAACAGGCTGGTGTTGCCCCACAGCCTCGCTGTTGGGGGCAGGAGGACCAGGAGAGCGGTACCTCCCCATGGTGGAGAGCAGGGTTTGCAGGAGGACGTTTTACGGGTTGTGTGCTCCACGGGTTGAAGAACTTGTAGGAGCTGGAGCCAGCGGTGAGGAGCGATGGCAGGCAGGTACATGCGTCCTTCCCCCGAGAGGTACAAAAAAACCTGCAGGGACTCTTCTTTGAGGTGCTTGGTCCCCACGGTCATGGAGGGCAACAGGAGTTGGCAACGGCATCTTGGAGATGCCCATCCTGGATCTGGGATGGGGCTTTTTCCATTCACCCCAACATCGTGTCACCCCGAGAAGCATTTCTAAAAGGGCTGAGCACTAACAGGACATCTACTCCTCGGCTGGGGAAAGCCAAAGGCTGCCCATGCTAAAAATTGGTTTAGTTTTTTTCCTTCTTGAGATTGTTTCAAAATTTTCCTCAAAGCTTATTGCACAAAACCTTTGAAAAATTAAGTATAACCCCTGTGCAAATCAAAGGAAACCTTATCACATAATGCAAATGCCTAAAAATGCCTGTTCAGCAATGCACACAGGACGTGGTGTAATGTCTTTGGTACCAATCCGCCAATTTATTTAACAGAAAACCACCACCACCACCAGAGACCCTACTGTTATTAAGAACTGGATGCAAAATTATGTTCAGAGTGTTTTAATAACAAAGCATTCCAAGGCAAGTTAACACGGATCACAGGGTATGACTTCGATTCCTGGCTGGCATGGCACTCTCCCCCGTGCGCACTCGTGGCAGTTCAAACAAAGCAAAAATTAATAATAATAATAATAATAATTACATATATCTCCCCCTCTTTCAAGGCATGGCGCAGAGAGTCCCCAGAAGTTCGTGCCGCCGACCATGCCTTTCAGCGTAGAGCACCAATCTCCCCCAACTCTTGTAATGTCCTCAATAACTTAACCCAATAGTCATCTGCTGCCAGTATATCACTGAAACTAAACAGAAAACAAACAAACAAAACAAAAAAAAAATACTTCACAGAAAAGATGTATGCACAATAAACGTTTATGCTTTAAGCAACCAGCCATACCAACATAATTTATATATATATATAAAAAAAAAAACCAAAACAACCCCACATTTGTGTCATCCAACTAACATCTAGTATAAAGATGGCTGCTCAGAGAAAAGGAAGCCGACTGGCATCCAATCACCGATACACGGAATTAATTACCTGTCACCTGGAACTGCTGTCACACAGTCCCGCGCCACCGCGGAGGCAGGACTCACGGTTTATTTATATTTTTTTTTCTTTAAACAAAATACATATGGCTGACGTAAAAATATCAGTTTTTGATCTAAAGAAAACTATATTATTTTTTCTTTTTTTTTTTTTTTTGTTTATTTATATTTTTTTTTCTTTAAACAAAATACATATGGCTGACGTAAAAATATCAGTTTTTGATCTAAAGAAAACTATATTTTTTTTTTTTTTTTTTTTTTTTTGCATAATATTTATATATAATTATTTCTCCCCCTCCTAACATGGAAACTACAACAACAAAAATATATCAACTAAAGGACAACCAGACCCTTGTGGCAACCTGCCAGTCACAGATTTCTGGGAGTGACTTTGAGAGCCTCCAAAGTTGGCTTTTTGTTGGTTTAAGTCTTTTCTTTTTTTTTTTTTTATTTTTTAAAACAGGTCTGAGGTAATAAAAAAATATCAAAAGAAAAAAAAATAATCGGTGTGTTTCCCCCCCCAAAGTATTAATAAATATTTACGTAAGCTTGTAAGAACACCGTATTTTCATCCTTTTTTTTTTTTTGCAAGTATTTAAAATAGAAAAAGTGATCTTTTAAGCAATGTCACCTTTAGCACAGAACCAAACCCCACAACCACCCCTTTTGTCTTTCCTGTCACCACTTGTGTAGAACCCAAGAAAACACCCCCCAAACCCCTCCCGCTCCTGCCCAAGGTATTTTTTTTTTTTCAGCTCATGGGAAGGAGGAACGGGGAGGGCAGCCACGGGCAGGGGGCTTGATATTGACTTTTTAATTTAAGAGATGGGCAGTGGTGGCAATTTCTTCTTGCTGTTGGCAGTGTATGAGCCCAGCCTTCACCCCAGCACCAGGAGACCTGGGAGAAGGACCTTTCCTCAGCTACTCGGGGCAGGAACGGGGCCACCTCGTCCTTCCCTCCTCCCACCCCAAGGAAGGGCCGAGTTGGTGCTGGGCTGGCAACAAAACAAAGACACTTGGTTCGTGTTGGCGTTTAAGGAACACTTATTTCTTGGCAAAGTACTGGGCCCTCGCGTGGCAGGCGGTGCTGCAGGCAGTGCTCGGAGAAGGCACGGGAGATTCTGCTGTGCGTTCTTAAAGGAAAGAAAAGAAGAAACCAGCCAGCCCACCCTCCTCTGGCTAAAACCTCTCTGCGTCCAGGGATGGAGGCTGGGCGAAGACGGTGATGTTGTACAGCCAGTTATCAACCAGGTTCTCTCTGCTTCCAACCACGCCAAAGGGGACAATGAAGAGAAGGCAGCAGAGCTTCCTCCAGCCCTGCCTGGGGTGCACCAGCAAGAGCCCAACGGGGAAGAAACAAAGCCCAAGCAAAGAAAACTCCTGCCTCCTGCTCTGTCCCATGGCTTCACAAGAGGGTCAAGTTCAGAGCCAACTTGCCCAGGACAACTGGGACCTCTGCTCCAAAAAAACCAGGACTCTCAACCAAATGGTTCCAAAAGCCTGAGGTGAGGCAGGATGCAAGGTGAAGAGATGAGCTTCAGAAAAGCAGCAGGTGAGGCAAAGCCTCCAATGCAGCACCTTCTCTGGAAGCCCTGCAGCCAACCAACTAACCTGCCAACTTGGCGAGGAATTAGCTTCACTGGCAAACCAGTTACAGAAGCGCTATGGAAATCAGGAGTCCTCCCATCGGTCATGGAGCCTTCCCTCCCTTCCACTGGCTAAAGAGACAACGTGACTCATCCCTTCCATGAGCCCTAGCTGACCTGCTGTACTGTCCATAACCCCATCCTTGTTCTCCATCCAGCCTGCTAACGCTTTGGGAGCGATGGGCAGAGGTGGTGGGCACGGCTGGAGCATCCTCTGCAGTTAACCAGAGCTCATACTCCAGAGCTGAAGGATTATTTAACCCAACAGTACAGAGAAGCCAGAACGGCCAAAGTCCCTCTGCAGGAGTCATTAAACCTTTGCAAGGCTCTGGCCAAAAGTTTCACAGCTCTTCAAGAGCAGAAGAGATGCATCTCTTAAGACTCCCCAGGAAGGAGCCCCCGTTTCTCACAACCATGGGTTTTATCTTCACCCCAATTCCACTGCCAGTTCACCTCCACCTTGCTTTGTAGAAAAAAAAACATAATCAGAATCTTTTACATCCATGAGGTCACAGCCAAGTCACCTTCGTTCCTTATCTACCAATTACTGCTTTGGAAACAGAGAGAGAACTGTACACACAGAGGAGGAACTCTAAAGGCTAGGTACCACTTTTCAAGGTGGAAGACTGGTGTACATCCCTGTATCTATCGACTAAGTGAGTAAACACCTTCCCCCTGGCTGGGTTGTTTTTTTTTAAAAAATTTAATTTATTTTTAAATTTTCACACTAGAGTGCTAACTCCCCCACTTCCCACTGCGAAGTTACTGGGGGCAAATCCCACAAGCTAAAGAACAAACCCCGACATTAGAAGAAAACCCTAAAAACCACAAGTGGAAGAAAAAAAAAAAAAAATAATAAAAGAAAGTCATAAGTGCACCTCAGCCCTCGGGCCGAGTGCGTGCATGTAAGACTACAACAATTTGAACTTGCTTTGAACATGCATTTTTCTAAGTGAAAACCCCCCTACAGACGCGTGCGTGGAGCCCAACTCTCGGAGAGGAAATAACCTGGCTGCTTCACTTGGGTGAGTACCACTGAAAATTAGGGATGGAGATGCACAAGTATGGCTTTGCCTCTCTCCCAACACCCGGCATTCGTGGTACTCTGGTTCCCAACTGCTAAATAATGGTAAAAAAAAAAAAAAAAAGATAAAAACAAAAACAAAACAAAAAACCCCAAAAAACGAAAAACACCAAAATGATATACGTATGAGCAGTTTGACACGAAGTGACCGCAGTGTGTGATCAGTTACTGGTGCCAATATCACACAGGGCGAGGGGCGAAGGTGGAGGAGGAGGAGGAGGAGGAGGGGGGGTTTTGAAGTTCTAAGGTCAAACCGATGTCTCCAAGCTGTGTAAGGGGCTTTCAGGCTCCGGGACGGTGACCTCAGCTTGATCGCTGTCCACTGCATTGTTATTTCTGTTGAGGGATGTAGATCCACCCAGGCTACCCCCACCTCGCTTTTTGAGTCCATCAGTCTCGGGGTCGTCTTCAGCGCCGTCAAGGAATGGTGTTCGAGGCTCGTCTTCCTCCAGGATGAACTCTGGGTGAGTCATGAAGTTATGGATGGAGCTTCTGGATTCGGGTTTCTCGAGGCCTTCGTACAAGGAGCTACGGAACGCATTCACCACTTTGATCTGCCGGGAGGCGAGGAGCGTGGGGGATAAACAAAAGAGGGGTTAGTAACGGCTACGAGAGGCCAGAGCTCCCAGGAGAAAGTAAAAATAAATAATAAAGACACAATAAAACAAAAAGCACAACAACAACAACAAACAATCACCACCACTGAACAGGCAGCTAAGTCAAAATGAGAGATCTATGGTGAACTAGGAGGGCCAACATGGATCAGACTCAGGCACTAGGTGTGTGATGGGGAATCAACCGACTATGGGGCGACTTCAGAAGCTGCAAGAAAAGACACACACAAAATAAAAACCCTCAAAAAAACCCCCCGAGATCACTTCGAATGAATGGAAGCCAAAATGCATTAGTTGTCATTATGTGTGCGCACGCATAATCCGTGTGTATAAACGAGGACAAAAAAAAAAAGTGGAACTACAACTCAAAAAAAAAAAAAAAAACAAAAAAAAAAAAAAAAAAAAGAGGTGGGTTAGACAAACAGTGGGTTCACTTCAAGGCAGAAAAAAAAACCTCTACTGTGGGAGCAATGTCTGTGTTTGTTCTAGTTCATTTTTAGACCTAAAGAAAGGGATGGGCTTTGAAAAGGTGACACAAACTTTTCAAGCCCATGTGAAGCAGTAGGTCCAAGCGGATGCCATGACCAGTAAAACCAGACCCAGCTAAACATGCAAGAAGGAAGCCAGATCTGTGTGAGTACCCCCACACAGTTGCCACCTGGATCCTTCCCTACACCCGCATGCTGAAGACGACTCAGCAGTTTCCAAAGTGGTTTCTTTTGGATGCTCTGCACAAAAAAACCCTAATCTCAAACTGCTAGAAAGCCTGGCTGCTTTCTAGCTCCTCTGAAACCCACAGGACGCCAGCACCAAAAGCCAGGCTCAACGTGGTACAAGCAGGAGATGTAAAGCCCAGTTTGGACAACCAGGGTATGGCTCTGCCACCTCCACTGCATTGGATGGGAGAGGTCTGGAAACAAGCCTGGATGGTGGCTAGCAATGGAGTCATTGCTTCCTCCAGTTCCTTCAGAAACCCAGCCTTGAGCTCTTCCAGCTCTCGCCCTCCCTTGCAGTGAAGTCCCAGTTGTTCTGTCGGAGGGGTGACAAGTGTCAGATCCAGCGAACAAAGGGGCAGGAGGTGGCAGAACCTCTCCACCCCACTGCAGATGCTGGCACACGTGAAACAACCATGTGCACCTCGGCTGCAGCAGAGAGCTCCAGCTCTCCTGGATGACTCAGGGCTGTAATCGCTCAAAAGATGTCAAAAGGCATAAACTGCGGGAGGGCGATGCAATCCATCTGTGGGCTTTTGAAGCAGAGCCAACAAACCGAGCAGCTGAAGGTCTCCCAGGCTTTGGAGGACCTGGTGAAATCACACACAAAAGGCTTTGCCTTTTCCTGCAAAGCTGAGAGTGACCCACCACACGGTGCCCTCCAAAGCATCCCTCGGGTTGCTCTGTTGTGTCTTACACCAATGCTCTCCCCTTCTGACTCCTTCAGGCCAGACCCAGCACGTGGCCTCTCTCCAGAGGTCCCTCCATCCTGCCACAGCAGGTCACACCAGCACCCTCCTGGCTCGTGGTACCCTCCCAGTACCTGGGAACTGGGCCATCTCCTCCCTTTAGCGAGGAAGCTACTGACAAAAGTTGTCAGCAGGGACCAAGCATCTGGCACAAGCTCTTGTGTGTTTTATGGAAGCACATAAAGCTTTTTCTCTGTTAAACAGAGCTCATCTGGGACCAGGAGATCTGCTCAACTCTTCCTCTTGGAAGGAGATGCCCCCAAAGACCACTTTGTTCAGCAACACTTGGCACAGCAGAGAAATGGGTAATATCTCCTCATAGCAGCACCAGTCGTTCTGCTCTGCCCATGGAAGCAGCACGAGCTCCCTCAACCTGATCCCAGCACCTGAGGAACTCCATCCCCATCCACATCCCCTGCTTGCTCTCGTGATGTCACTGTGGACTGAAGCTGGGGCACAAGAGGGAGGAGAGCCCCAGATCCCACAAAAGGGGTGCCAAAATGGGGGTGCTCCTCCCCAGCATCGCTACGCTACACCCTGGAGAGCCTCCTCGTCACTCAGGGAGCAGAGAGTGAGCAGAGCTGCTGGAGGGAGAACGATTCAGGTACCCCCTTGGAGGCTGATGAGGCAAATAAAGGTACATGTGAGTTCTGCTGCTTCTTTGTGAACGGGCTGCAGGTCTGGTGGGTGAGCAGAGACCCCGTTTCCTGGTGAGATGAGGCAGCTTAAACTGTCCACCTTGGCCTGGTACATGGGCAGACAAGGAGGGAAGTCACCAACCAGCACAGCCAGCGAGAGCCTCCTAGGGATCTTTGGTCTCAGCACAAACAGCACTCGCAAAACCAGACCAGAGAAGTTACTCAAAGAAGAGTTTTGTGCCTGGAACCCTGGAGATTTTTACCTGCGAGATGTTCCAGGGTTCCCCTCTCGTGAGGGATGCCCTTCTGAGGCCGCTCTCCATCTGGCTCAGAAAGATGGGGCTGCACCACACAGGGCAGCAACGTGGCATCCCCCCGGCACAGGCTCAGCACGTCCCGGCTAAAAACAAACACGGCAGCTCTTGCAACCACACAAGGACTGGCACGGACACATGAGCTGGATGACAGACACCCCTGAGGAGATGAGCATGGACCAGGCACCCCCCATGATGCTGGAGCACCAGCTGGCCTGTGAAAATGGAAAGTTTATGTAGCTGGGAAGAGAAATTCAAAGCTGTATCTGCTGCACTAATGACCACAGTAAGATCCTTGGTAAATTCAGTGTTTAACGTGAATGCACCACCAAGGAGGCCACCTTCTACCGAGAGTGATCACCTGTCACATCATCGTCTTGAAAACAGCAACTGCAAGCACTGACAAAAGCACACACCCCTAAAATACAGTGTGCAAAACCAATTAAACCAAGTCTAACCAACCCAAACAAGCTAATGAGAGCCCAAGTGACTCCCAAAGCAACTAGGATTGTCAGTCCAGTACAAGCTCGGAGGAAGGAGCAGCTTCACAGCAGCTCTCCCTGCTCCAACACCTCAAGCAATGGTGAGATCAAACCCTATCGACCACATCACTGCCTTCAGCTCCACCAATAACTTCTGCTCCAGCTTTCCTCAGATATTCTTACTATAACCATCTCTGTTGGTAACTGCTGTGAAATTAATTCAGCTGTTCCCTTGTCAGAGGAAGTTAACAGCAAGGAAATGTGTTTTGAATGAGCCAGGCAGCACAAACATCATCCTCCCCAACCAAGCTGAAAGCCCCTTTCCCTCCCTGCCCACGGTCAGGCTCATGTCTCCTCTCCATCCAAAACCTTCAAGACCTGCAAGCTTGGAATTTATTCTCGTTTCACACCATCACTGCCAGCATCGTAATGTGCTTGGCAAACCCCACTGCTCCCACGGAGGTGGAAATTACATCTTCTGCAGGAAGCCAGCATCAGCTCCACCACTGACCCCTGGTTTGCTTTGCCCAGCTCCCTCAAACTGGGGCAAAACCCCCAGAGGAGACCAGCTCAGCTCTGCAAACCATCTCCTGCAGGTCCTTCCCAAGACCTCCCTCTCCTCCGTGGTCCCGAGAGGGACACAGCAGATGGGGCTGCCAAGGTCCAGCCCTGGAGAACTCATCCCACAGAGTGAAGTGGAAGACAGAGGGACACCATTAATCCGTACGGAGGGAAGTGGAGCTTTGAGAGAGAGAGGGAAGGGAAGCAGCAGAGGGAAACAGAGAAAAGTCTAGGCAGAAAACAGAGGGAAGACTTAGCAACCTGGGTTAGCTCCTGGTAAAGTTGTTTGCTGCCTGGAAGGGCACAAACTATCCAAGTTATCTGTTCCCTCGCTGCAAATCAGGGAGGACATTAATCCACAGACTGCAAAAAAACCTGCGTATTGGTCTTGCCCACCCAAACCCACTGCCCTGAGAACCCTCTAAGCAGGTTTTCTTCCGATTAGAAAGTCCTGGTGGTGCACAGAAGCAGTCGGGAACAGAAGGCAGCTGCGCTGCTTCAGAAACACTGGGGTTAAACAAAATAAACTTCGAGCATCAGTGTTGGCTAAATAGAGAGAAAACAAAATTATCAGAAATTCTCTCTTCTCTCCCACAGTGCATAAACAGTGGAAACTGAAAGCTATGTGAGAAGTCACCAAGGATATGTCTTTAATAAGCGGAGAACACGGAAAATGACTGTGCAATAAAAATAAAAAAAGCCAATTATCCGGGATAATTCATACACTACCTACTCATAGCCTGGCACAGCCCTGCAGAGAGAATTCACGCTCACGTGCTCACAAGCCCGAATATGCAGCTCACAATGAACACGGAGAGGGGCTCTGCACCGGAGAGGGATTTTCCTTTGGTCTGGAAACCCACGGGTAGATCCGGGACCCAGCTTTGCCCCTGACATTCAGCAGGGCCACGTTCTCCACCTCCCTTCATGTGCAGAGCTCCGTGTGTCTCCGTGTCCACGGAGAACCAGCGTGTGCAGGACAAGCCGGGCATCGAGGAGCCGCTGCAGCGGGACAGCGATGCTCCGGCCACCCCAGGGGACCAGCAGAGCCCTGTGCTGTCCCCAAGGCAGCAAAGGGCACCCTTAGGTGCACGCTCGGGCTCGCTCGGCTCTGTCTCGCAGGGCATGCAAGGTCACAGGCGGGACAGAGGAGGCTGCTTGCTTACAAGCCAGCTCTGAACCAGAGGGATGAGCTGCAGGTGAGCGGCTCTGAGGTGTCACCCCACCTGAGCTGCGGTAATGGGCTGCTGGTCACCCACCATCCAGCCTCCCAACCAAGGCAGGAGCAAACAGCCCTTCTCACACGCCTGCGAGAGGAGGAGAGCACCCAGGCAGCCCGTTACCACGGCTCAGCTGGCCCCAGTAGCCCACTAACTGCTGTGGGAAGGTCCCAAGCGGCCAACTCTGCCTTTAAAGAGATTTACAGCTTCGGTAAAAGCAACGTCTCTGCCCATCCCTGCCCTCCTGGGGCATCCCCGGGGCTGGGCAGAGCCGTATCGGAAAGAAACGGCAGCTTTTGGGCGCAGCGTGCCCTTTTCACAGCAATGCTTTTTAGTTGCTCATGAGCACGGGGTTCTTTTGACAAGAACCACCAATTTCTGCACCCTGCAGGAGGGTGGACTCATAGGTCAGTCCTGCAAAGGAGGAGAAGTAGTAAAAATTGGAGGAAGCAACCAGGAATGGGGAGGGGAAAGGACCAGAAAGTATCGTAAACTTGTTAAAGATGCAACAGCATAAAAGCTTTTTTCTTTTTTCTTTTTAAAAACACTCTCCCGCCCCATCCTTCATTTTGGAAATCAGTGTGCGAGTCGAGGGTTAGAGGGAGAGAGAACAGGCTGGGTTAGGTTGGTGCAGGTGCTCTCTGTGGTTATTAGAAGTCATGCATTGTAATAGACTATCACTCACTGCCCGCAGGAGGAGATGCAGCAGCAGCAGCAACAGCAGAAGTGGTGGGAGTGGAATTGACGGAGGAAAGAGCTACATGGGTTGGGCTAGAAACATTTTTTACATCGTGGTGCTGGCTCACGATGGAAGGCTGTCTCCTGAGGGCTCCCTGCAAAGAGGAGGCGCCGGTCTGGAATGTGTAAACTACGTCCATCTGCAAAGAACCAGAGAGTGAGATAGCATCGCCCCGGCCAGAGACAGGGAGAGGGGGGTCAGGGATGGAGGGGGAGCAGGGAGGTCGGGCAGACACACACGGACAGGAAGGAAGGAGGAGGAGGAGGAGGGAGAGGTGGTGGGGAGGAGGGAGGAGAGAAACCCCCCTCCCACCCCCGTAAACCCGCACCGGGTTCAGCTGGTGTTACTGGGAGCAGAGGAGAGGTCGGCTTCAGCCTCTGCCCAGCTCTCGCTGGGGTGAGAGGGGCAGGGTTTAGCCCCACCACCAAGAGAGAGGCTGCGGTGGGAGGGAGCGACAGAGGAAACACCTTGGGTTATCCCGATAATCTGCAGGAGGAGCAGAGAGAGAGAGAGAGAGAGAAAAGAGAGAGAGAGGGTGGGCAGAGGTGTGAGCTGGCAGCTGGTGGTCCAGAAAACTGCACTGGGAAAGGGTTGCTGGTGCCTCAGCCCCATGGGATGTACTTGTGGGGCTGGATCCTGGGACACACCACACTCCTGCAGCTCCCACAGTAGCTGACCCAGCTGGAAGACGTTTCACCTTCTCTCCCAGGCTCAGGGCTCGGAAGCAGAGCTGGGAGAAGTGGGCAGGGATGCAGCAGGAAGCATCCTTGGTGGTGGGCCACAGTGTCTCGGTGGATGAGCATCGAGGCCGGAGGAACCGAGCAGCATCTGGGTGCCACCGTGGCTTCCCAGACACTTTGGAGCTGGCCTGTCCCCAGCCCTGTGCCACCGGGGCTTGCCCGCACGGCTCCTGGGGAAGGGGCACCTCCTCCAGACCCCTGTGCAGCTCTAGGGGGTCCAGGTCCACCACGGCAGCTCTAGTTCACCCTGGAGGTATTTCACACACCACTCCTTCCCCAGTTTGATCTCCCTCCACAGAGGGACCCTCATTTCCCACCAGCACCAGGCTGGCCTGAGGGAAGAGCCCTGTGCCCTCACTTCAGACACACTCACTTGGGACAGAAGCCCCAAGATGCCAGGGTTGGACCTTCTTGGCTGCTCTGCTCAATGCACAGGGCATCACAGCCAGGAAAGGAGTTGCTAAAGATGCTCCAAGGACGTTTCAGTGTCCAGGAGTGTTTTTTCACATTGCAAGAGCTTGTTTCAGCCCACGTCCACCACAGCTGTAGGGAAACACCCTCCAGACTTGGCCGTTCATACCTACTAGGCCTCCAACACAACTGGACCGTTTCCCAAACAGCCCAGTGCTCCCAGCACATCCTTCATGTGAATGAACCAGGCTGAGCCAGCAGCTGAGCCCCCCGCAGCACCACCGCTGCTCTGGGCCCCCAGAAGAGCCCAGTGACCCCTCACAACAGGCTGAACCTCACCTTGAAACCGTCAAGGCAACATCTCATGGAGGAGAAGAAGAGTTAACATGGCACAACACAGCTGCTCTGCTGGCTCCAGTCCCTGTGTCTGGGCCATTCTGGTTATCTCCATTTCTCGGGGGGCCAGAGGAGGAGGAAGGAGAGGTAACACAGCAGCCCTGCATGCCCGGGGCCACTGGGGACCTACAGCTTTCCTCCATGGGGCAGCTCTGCCCCAGCCTTGAGGAAAGATGAGGGGCAGAGACCTCGCTGCAGGGAGCTCGTCCTGCCCTGCCCAGCCAGCAGGCTGGGGGAAAAAAAAGAGTCCTTTCAGGAAAAACTGAGTCAGGGAGAAACAGCTGATGTAAAAACAGTATTAACAGATTTCTCCTCTCCTGTGCTGCGGGGCCAAGAGCTCCAGGCGAGGAGCCTGGAGAGCTGGAAGGGAGAGGTGGCAAGAACCCTTGGCCAAAAGGCCATTGGGAAGGATGAAGAACAGAAGAGGAGGGAGACCAGAGAGGGTCCCGTGCAGGCAGACCCCTCCTGGGCACATTCCCCACTGGGAGCAGTGTCCCAGCATTGACCAAGAGCAGCTTCCATACTGACCAGCTCACCAGGAGCCCGGGTGGCTCCATGGCCCCCCCTGCACTTTCCGAGCCCCCTCCTCTGCCATGTGAGGTGCCCATCAGCAGCACCTCCAGCCCCCTGTGGACCAGCCCGGTCTGAGGCTGCAGGACACCGTGCTCTGCATCAGAACAGACCGGTGCCTCTCCCCCCACCACAAGATGTCCCCAAAAGCCAGGCTGCCCCGGTTCCCCAACCAGGGCAGACCCAGAAAGGCACAGGCGGTGGGAGAAGTCTAGCCCAGGAGGCGACGGCATCCTCCGAGCAGCAGCTGGTGCCCCTTTCCAGACAGAGCCCCTGGAGACAAAGAGAGAGAAAGAGAGAGAGAGAGAAGACGACCCCCAGGGTACCCGCTGCCCCACGGTACCTGTGTCTGTATCCTGTTGAGACCCCTGAACCAGAGGATCTGCCCGCGCCGCAGCTCCATTTCAGCGTGGTCAATCTCATCCACGTCTTCGGGCAGCTCCTCCTCTGGGATCTCCTCCTTGGTGATGCCGTGGCCGGCTTCCTTCAGGAACTTCAGGTGGCTGGTTGGGACAGTGCAGATCAGCTGGGGAGAGGCAGGGAGAGAGCAGCTCCTTAGCCTGCAGGCTGTGGAAGCCCATGGGGGAGCATTCCTGTAGTGAGCTGCCCAGGACTCAGCTGAGAGATGTCAGGATGCAGCTGAGAAATGCCACCACTGCAAGCAGGGTGGGAAGGAGGAGTAGATTAGCAACCTCCTCTCCTCGCTGCTGGTGTGGTACCGGGATGGAGCATCACCCCCTTCCAAAGCTGCCTTGAATAAATACTGGGGAGAGCAAGGGCAGTGGGGCCAGGCAGGGAGAGGCAGGCTGGGCATGGAGGCACGTGGGATGTCCTTCAGACTGGCTCTTACCTGTCCCCAGAGGAGCTCGCCCACTCCGATAAAAATACACCAGAACCACTGGCTCAGGGTGAGCCCGGAGCAGCTGAACGGCTTCCCACCAAACTCCACAATGATGATCTACAGCACAGGAGAGAAAAAGTCACACACTGGGGAGCTCTGGGGCTGCGTGGCACAGCCATGGGATGAAAAGGTCCTCTAAGGTCACATCTTTTCCCCCCTCCCTGGGATCATGAGAGGAGCAAGGACCTCACATCTAGGCTAGAAACTTTACAGGACCCCAGAGGCACGCTAGCTGGCTGGCCCTGGCATCTCCCACCATACTCTAGACCACAATATTCAGATCTTGTGTCATCAAGAAGCTGCTGGAGAAGGATAAGGGGACAGGACAGAGCTGGGGGCACTGAGTGCAGCAGACACAGGTTCTACCTGTCCCACGGTCCCCTCCCAGCCCCACCATCTTATTCCCACAGCTTCACCTGAGCTGCAAACGTCCCCAGCACCACTGTGCAGAAGATGGGGTTGCGGTAGATGGCTTCGAAGACGTTCCTCTCCCCGTGGATCTTGCGCGCGTTGATCTCGTTGAACAACTGCATCATGACAAAGGTGTTGAAGACGATGGTGTAGTGCTCGGTGGGTGGGGAGTGGAGCGGGGCGTTTCGGCCACTGTCGATGTCAAAAAACTTCTCCCCTAAGCAGACAAGGGGTTTTGGGGAGGGCATGGGGAAGGGCAGGGAAGAGAGGAGAAGATGAGATCCTGCTCTGCACTGGTGGAGGTGGAACTAGGATCCCAGGCTCTTGCTGAAGATCCCTTGACCCAGCTGGAGTCCCCCATGCTTAAAAATGTTCCTTAAAAATGGTGAAAACCTGCTGCCCTGGCTAAAAATGCCTCTGCACCCAGCAAGGTCTTGAGCAGACCCACACCCTCAGTGTAAACCCCCTCCCTTAACACCCCTCTGCTTCCCATCCCTTATTAAATAAGCTCTGTCCTGGCCAACCTAGGGTCACCGAGTGACAGCTGAGAACAAGGGTCCCCACCATGGGTGCTTCCCATCCCTTATCAAATAAGCTCTGTCCTGGCCAACCTGGGGTCACCGAGTGACAGCTGAGAACAAGGGTCCCCACTATGGGTGAGGAAAGGTGGCTCAGGAGGCAGTGCTGGGACTCTGCCCCTTTCCTTTCCGTCCCCTCCACCGTTTCCTGGGGCCTGGCAGCTCACCCGCAAACAGCAGTGTGAAGATGATGGTCAGCTGGTACACGGCGTGGCCCAGGATGTTCTTCATCATGGTGCGGGAGATGAGGGGCTTGTTGCGGCCGTAGGGCTTCCGCAGCAGCAGGGACTCGGACGGGGGCTCCGTGGCCAGGGCTAAGGAGGCGAAGGTGTCCATGATCAGGTTCACCCACAGCATCTGGACAGCCTTCAGGGGAGAGTCCTGTAGAGAGAGGAGGGGGGAAAAACATGTCACACCATCAAAAACAACCTTCTCTTCCCTCCCCGTCTCACAGGAGTCCCCCCTCTCCCCCTGCCGAGCCCAGCAGCCCCCTACCTGCGTGATGCAGGCCCCCGTGAAGGCCACGATGACGGCCACGACGTTAACGGTCAGCTGGAACTGCAAGAACTTGGAGATGCTGTCGTAGACGTTGCGGCCCCACATCACCGCCTTGACGATGCTGGTGAAATTATCGTCCGTCAGGATGATGTCCGAAGCCTCCTTCGCCACGTCCGTGCCTGCGATGCCCTTGAGGACCAGGGAGAAAGCCATGGGGTGAGTCATGGAGCAAGCTCGCCGTCTGCCCGGCTCCGATTCTTCCAAGAAACAGCCCCAAGAGGAAAATCCCCCGGAGCCAGCGGAGCCGGTGCCAATCCTGCCTTCGACAGCAAGTCCTGCTGCGGCTGCACCAACGCACCCGAGAGAGAAGAGGCTCTAAAGCAGCAAAACCTTTAAGGACAGACACTGGCTCGGCTCTGGAGTCACTGCAGCTTTACAGCCTGTCACTGTGTGTGCCCCAAACAGGGGACACGGCACAGAAAAGCTGAAGAACAGCTTGTAAGCATCCCTGGGACCACTGGCATCCCTGGCTGAGCATCTCTGCTGCAAGCAAGGGTTGGGACCCCAAATGAGGGAGAGCGTTCAGCAGCCCAGAGTCCCAGTGCCTTCCTGGTGCCTTCTGCCCCGTCCGAGGGAGATGGCAGCCCCAGGACAGCCCAAATTCATCCGCAGCATCTCCAGAGGAGCAGAGTTTGCTCTGCAGGAGCGGGGCTGGCTGCGTTTCTCGCCGCCGGCACACAGAGGCGCTCACTTTGCAGGAATTGAACGCACCGAAGCCATCCCTGCAACCAGCCTCCTCCCTGGTGCTCTCCTGGAGAAGCTCCTGAGATTTGCCAGACCCATCTCAGATGGGAACGGCCCCAGCTGTTGTGGGACAGGAGCTTTGGAGCAAGCCAGACAGACCAGCTGAGGGTACCCCAAATGCCATTTGAACCCCGCTCTCCAGAGACCCAAGGGCCCCCAGCAAAGCCCTGCACATGGGGCAGGGAGCCCTACTGGATGGTTCCCCAGAAGACAGGCTACCTTTGTCCGATTGTCCTAAAAGCTCCAGAAACGCACATAGTTATTTAACACCTCCTTAAAAACCTCTACTCCCCAAAAATTAAGACCAGGCAGGATGGGCCTTTGAGCAACCTGGTCTAGGGGGGGGTGTCCTTGCCCACGGCAGGGGGGGGTGGAACTCAATGATCTTTAAGGTCCCTTCCAACTCTAACCATTCTGTGATTCTATGAATATTTCTCACTCTCTCTCCCTACGTGGGCTCAGAAGGTCCCAACCCAGCAGCTGGCTCCTGTTCACGTACCTAAACTTAAACAATTCACAAGAAACCCATTAAAACTGACAGGTTTATTTTCTTGCTTCTTTCGGACAGGCCAAAGAAAAGCAGCAAACCAGGAGATCCGAGTTCTTCACCATAAATAAACTCCCCAAACCCGTGTCAGGACCCTGCTCGGAGCCTGGGCTGCTCGTTACGAGCCTGGGTGAGGAACTGCAGGGATAAACCAACTCACACCCAGCTACTGGTTTCCCACAGCTCTCCTGGACCCCACAGACAGGTCCCTGCTCTGGGTGCTTCACAAGCACCACGTCACCTTGACACTGTCCCTGCAGGTGGGACAGAGGATCCAGGCTCTCAGGGGATTGCTCCCCATCAATCTTTGGCTAAGGGTCCTATAAAGTTCATGAGAATTAAATCAAACCTCCAAATAAAGTTGTTTTTTTTTTTTCCCCCCTTCCTTTTAAGCCATCCTGTAGATCTGGAAAATCCCATCAATCTTTAGCTAAGGGTCCTATAAAGTTCATGATAATTAAATCAAACCTCCAAGTAATGTTTCTTTTTTTTTCTTTTTTCTTTTTTTCCTCCTTTTAAGCCATCCTGTAGATCTGGAAAAGAGCTTAATTGCTCCAGAAATAATTTCAGTGTTGAGGATACCTGAGCGTGCCATTAGTTTCTCACCCCAGAGGGCAAAGGCTGCCCCCAGGGAACCCCCCCACCCCTTCATACCATGGCAAAGCCAACGTCAGCTTTCTTCAAAGCTGGGCCATCGTTGGTCCCATCCCCAGTCACGGCCACCACCTGCCTCTGGTCACCAACGGTGCTGTCGATAATCCCTGAAATGGAGACAAGCAGTTCAGAGAAAATAAGCCCCCAGGGGCAGGCTCCCAGCAGGGGTGATGCTGCAAAAAGCACTCGAGCAGAGCAGGATGAGCCTCTCTGAGAGGCAGCATCTGGAGGAGCTGGCAAGTGCTCACCTTTCACGAGCGTGTGCTTATCTGTCGGGGAAGAACGGGCCAGCACACGCAGCTTGGGCCAGATCTTGTCCAGCTGCTCCTGTTCCACCTGCAGGACAAGGAAAGTGAGAAAAGGATGGGACCCCCCCACCCCCAGAACCTTTCTGCCCCACCGGAGAGCAAACCCCAACCGGGACAGGGCAGCACCTTCATCTCCAGACCCCCCTGTGGCTGCGCTGGCTGAGGATCCCAAAAAGTGAGAGGGACCAGCTGCATTTATCCAAGGAGAGGAGGAAAACCCAGTGGGATTCAGCGCCTTACACTGCCAGGACCATCAGAGAGGCCACCCACACCCACCCCAGAGCAGGACCTGGAGGGGGGACAACTCTCTCCCACCTCTCCCTTCTCATTGCGGATGAGGCGGTTGAACTCCTTCCCCTCCAGGCACAAGAAGTCCTCCCCTGGCAGCAGGATGCCACACTTGGTGGCAATGGCACGGGCGGTATTGATGTTGTCCCCCGTCACCATCCGCACGGTGATCCCTGCACGCTGGCACTTCAGGATGGCATCTGGCACCTGGGGGACAAGGACAGAGTCAGGGGGGGCAGAGGGGGGACAGGGTGCTCAGCTTTGGCACTGGGTATCCTGGGAGCCAAGGAAGCTCCTCTCCCACCCTCCCTAAAAGAGTCTGGAAAGGGCCCTGGACTCTGCTTGGTGGTCATGGTGGGGATGAGATGCCAAAATGAAAATTTCCCCCTCCAGAACCAGCTCAGCCATTTATCCCTGGGGGATGAGGGAAGCCACGGGGGAGGATGCCTTCCTCCTGCCCTCCCCGTGGCTCCAGCCAGACCCCTCGGTGTGTCCGGAGCAGCTCCCCCAGCACAGAAGGTGGGAGATCTTCCAGCCCCTGCCCCAAGGGGAAGGCAACCTCACCATCTGCTCCCCATCACCCCGTGGTGCTGGGCACCAAGGCACAGACAGCCCTGTGATCCATCACAAGGGAGGGGGGGCATTTTGTCCGCCCCCCACCCCGCACCGCGTTGCTGCGCTAATGGGTTTATCTGTTACGGGGCGGTGGGGGAAGAGGATATTAGTGAGAAATTAGCAAATCGAATCAACGGCCTCCAGAGCTGGTGCAGACGGGGCATCTGTAATGCAATTCCCAGACCCAGATACTCGAACATCTAATCAGGAAAGATGGAAGCAAGGCAGGAGGCACTGGGGCAAGCTCCAAAATGTAATCAAGAAGCAGGTATCGGAGAGCTTATTGCATTAGCCCAGCTCCCTGCCAGGAACCAGCTACATCAGCCTTGTCCCTCTCCAACACCCCTCTGTCACCCCTGCGTGGTGTCTCCGTGCACCTTTCAGCTGCAGGTGGAACCAGTCTGGCTTGGGCAGAAAGTCCTGGTAGCAGCTGAGGGGAAAGTTTGGGTGGAAACAGGTCACTTTGTCCAGGAATGGGAGATAAACGTCCAGCAGCAGGGAGCTGGTAGCGTGGGGAACTTCAGGGACGGATGCAGAGGAGCTGCTTATGCTTTTTTAAGGAGCTTATGGTCCTGAGCAGCAGGGAAAGGGGTTCCTGGCCCAGGAAAGGGGCTGGGGTGGAGGACAGCCAGGGGTCCAGTACCTCTGGCCGCACAGGGTCCTCTATCCCGACCACAGCGATGCAGGTCAGGTCAGACAGGATCTCGTTCTCGCTGTCCCAGTCTGGCTCAGCATCAGCAGGGAAGTCACGGAAGGCCAGGCAGATGGTCCTCAGCCCGTGACAGGCCATGGGCTCTATCACCTTCTTCACCATCTCATCCCGGTCCTTCACCTTGAACACCCGGGCGTCACCGTTCTTGTCCAGGATCCTGGTGCACCTAAGGCAGGACCAGGATGGAGGGTGAGGGAGACCGGTGGTGGCACGTGCTGCTGGCACCCCACCACCCAGCTTCCCCATCTGTGAAATGGGAACATCCCCTTACCCACAGCTCCCTACAGCTTTACCAAAGCCACCCTGAGAGAGCTAAATGCTTTTTCACCTCCCAACAGTGACTTTCCTCCTCCACAGCAGCTCAGAACCCTTCACCCCACAGCCCCTTCACCCCCCTCAGCCCCTCCTCCTAAAGCCCAGGGGATGGGGAGAGGACTAAACAGCAAGGGAGGACGGTTACTTGCGGAGGATGATCTCAGAGGCTCCCTTGCTGTACATGCGGAACCCGCCATTGCTGTTCTTCAGCACCGTGCTCATGGATTTGCGCACCGAGTTGAAAGTGTAGACCTTGTAGAGCTTCTCCTCCGGCACTTCGTTCCTCACAGCCTGGTAATCCTGCTTCAGGTCCAGCACGAAACCCAGCAGGGCACACTCGGTCTTGTTGCCCACTTGCCGGGGTAGCCCCGCTTGCTTCTCGGGTGGCTGGAGGGGAAGAAGAAAAAGGAAAAGCAATGCCAGACCTCAGTATGGCAGGATGGGACCTCCAGGTACGGCCAATGGTAAGAAGGCCACAGGACACAAGGTTGGGCTTCTCCGACTCACCAGGATCTTGGATGTGTAGGCAGAGTTGATGGCAACACCGTTGACTATGAGGTCCAGGACCTTGGGCAGGATGGCATCAGGGTCAGGGATCTGGCGGTAGTGGGTGTCCCCCACGTAGGCCTGCACCACGGTCATGCGGTTCATGGTGAGCGTGCCCGTCTTGTCTGAGCAGATGGCAGTGGCATTGCCCATGGTCTCACACGCATCCAAGTGTCTCACAAGGTTGTTGTCCTTCATCATTTTCTGCAACAGGCACCGTGACCCAGAAGGTTAGAGTCAAAAGCCTGAATTTCCCCATCGTGCCCCCAGCAGCCCCACTGCTTCGTGGGCTCACCTTCACGGAGTAAGCCAGGGAGATGGTGACCGCCAGCGGGAGCCCTTCGGGCACAGCCACCACCAACACGGTGACACCGATGATGAAGAACTTCACGAAGTACTGGATGTAAATGGGGGTGCACTCCGCCAGCCAGGGCCTCCCCTGCACCCCAAACGTGTCGATCACGAAGTACAGCACCAAGATGATGACTGTGATGGCCGACATGATCAGCCCTGGAGGAAGACGAGGCAGAGAAAGAGGTGAGGGGACGCAGGGGAAGGGGACAGCCTTCTGGGAGAGCTTTGGGATGACATCTCGTGCCAGGCCACCACCACTCACCTGCCTTCCCGATCTGGACCGCCAGTCTCGTGAGCTTCCCTTGCAGCACAGACTTCTCCTTCTTGGGCACCTTCACCTTCTTTTTCTCCTTCTCCTCATTTTCCACCCCTTCCTGGCTCTTCAGGGGCTGGATCTCTAAGGCCACACCATCCTGAGTTTTAGCTACAGCCCAGGGCAAAACAAGACACCACGTGTGAATAGGAGAGAGACCAGAAAAACCTGTAGGACACCACTGAGAAAGATGGTGGTGGGAGAGAGAGAAGACCCAGAACAAGAACCATTCCCGACGACACACGCATCTGAGCACATGGAAACCTCGTGTCCCGGGGCCCTGCCACCTCTCTATGGGGCAGTTTTCTGCCATCTACCCCAGCCCCAGGGATAAAAGATCCTCAGAGCTGACACTGGCGACGTGACCCCTGCGCTGGTCACACCTCTATGGCAGCGCTGCAAGAAACCCTCTGGCCAGGCGTTGGGGTGGGAGCAGGTCTCCTCTAGCCTTGCCCGAGGGCTGCTTTACACCCTGCAGCAGATGGGGAGCACTTTGGGCTGACCCCAAAGAAGCTCCATTCCCCCCCTGCCCACCACCACCACCCCCCTGATGAGCATCCCTGCTCTGTGTCCCACTCCTGGTGCCACCTCTGCAGTGCCCTGTGGGCAGCTCAGCAGGAATCACTTGCCAGGGGAGCGACTGAGGGGGTGAGATGGAGGGGGACGGTTAGAAATCTGGATGAAGATTGAAGAGGAGGGAGCCAGCTCCTTGAACCCCAGCCCTGAGCCATCCATCACGCTTTTAGGAACTCGAGACAGCCAGGCTTTCAGCTGCTCTCACTGATCTAGTCCAGCTGAAGGTCTGCACCAGGGAGACCCAGGCTGGCTGGAGGACGGGGAGAGGGATGGACTTGTCCCCTCCCAACTGCCACCACTCAATGGCTTGAGACACCCCCAGAGCTCGTGGCTGCTCCACATCGGACACCTCCACGGTTACGACAGACCCGACACGGACAAAACAAGCACCCGGACACAGTCTGACGGGAAGGAGGGAAACTCAAACTGCTGAGAGGAGAGAGAAAGAGAGAGAGAGAGAGAGAGAGGTGGAGAGAGAGGTGCAGAAATGGGCTTCTTCCACAGCCTGCAAAGAACAGTGTGAGAAACACTGGCGAGGAGACGCTCACGGAGTCGAGGCCATGGGAGGAGAGGGTGCAACCATCGATTTGGCCAGGCCCCGTGGGACATTTCACCCCAGGAACGGTGTGAGGGGACCCATATCTCTCCCTGAGCCAAACGCATTCCCCCCCAGAGGGATGGCTTCTGAGGGGCACACAGACTTCAGAGCCACCAGGTCACAGCTGCAGCTCATGTCAACGTGGATGAAGTTTGCCCCGAGAAAGGGATGCTCTGCCAATGGTCCAGGCTGCTGGAAGAGCCCCTGTCCTCCCTGCACGACAGCTTTGCCCCAGGCAGGAGCAAGGTGGCCACGGGGAGAAGCCAACTAGCCCCATCCCAGCTAGGCACACCCCCGTGATGGGGTGCTGGAGGGCACCGTGATGCCGTGCCAGGGCCACCGGCCGCAGGACCATTGCACCCTCTCCCAGGACAACGAGGCGAGAGTCCCGCCGGAGCAGCAAAGAGCACAGACTGATGAGAAGAAGGAAGGAAGGAAGGAAGGAAGGAGGAATGCTCGGTAGTTAGTGTGGTGCTGGTTCAAAGGATGGAGAGGCTGGTTACCTTTGTTGCGATTTTCGGGGGCTCCGGTTTTTTTACCTGTTCAAAGAGAAAAAGGGTGGAGGGCTGAGCACACGGACCCACGTTGACCATCCAAGCTGGTGGGACAGCCTGGGGCTGGCTCCGCTCCCAGGGGCCACATGCTGCTCCAGCAGCATCCATCTGCAGGGGCTCCAGGGCTCAGCACCCTGTGGTCACCCTCTGGACACCACACGTGCCTTGGTCCACAGCTCGCAGCACCGGGGAGGCTCCGGAGCTCCCCGACTCCCCCAGGTACCCTGTCCCCAAGGCTTCAGGCTTCCCCACCTGCAAAGCACCCGTTGCAACCCCTCCAAAGGGTGCCAGTGCCATCTCAGACCCTTGAGGAGAAGAAACCATAAGTGGATCTCCATTTCTGTGAAGCACGTGCCAAGCACCAGTGCTCCCTGTCCCCTGGTGCCACCGGGCACAAGTGGATCCATCCAGGAGGCACAGACTTGCCCCTCACCATGGGCAGCACAACATCCTTAGTGGGGGGCTCTGCCCCCCATGTCTGTGGTGGGCAAGGTCTGTACATGGGGGTCCTGAATGCAACATGGGGAGCACAGGGCTGCTGCTGCCATCTAAACACACCTTGTGCCATCATAAGGGGTCTATACACCTTCCCTCCATCACTCCCCCAGCACCACAGTGGGGGGACGAGCCAGTGAAGCCCCCTGCCCAACTCTGCCCCCAAATCAAGAGCTGCAAGACACTGAGCTGGGAAGGGCTGTAGCTTTCCAAGGCACCAGCTGCGGGGCTGGGAAGGCACCAAGCACCGTGCCCGGGCTCCTGGCGAGCTGCTGCTCAGCTCCAGCTCCAACAGCAGTGCCATTCCCACGTCTCACCCTGAGCTCCCACCTCCAAGCTGGCAGCTAAACCCCGAGAGCTCCACAGCCACCCAGCCCCGGCGATGCCAGCCAGCCACCCGTCACGGAAAACCCAGCAACCCAGCACACACGAAGCCCAGAGCCGCAACGGCTGCCAGGAGAAGCCCAGCAACCCTCTCCCTGCCTGGCATCGCCTCCCAGGAAGGGCTCCCCGGCGCAGGGCTGGCTGCGATGCCAACCCACAGCTCCTTCTGCCAGCTCCTCGCTCCTCACAGCTGAGCCCAGACCTGCTGAACAGGGGCGCAGGGACACGGGGGAAGAGCAGGAGCTTCCCCCAGGCCTGGCTTGTACTGGTATCGGAGCTGGCACAGAGCAGCAAGATGGGAGAGCCAAGGCAGGAAAGCATTCGAGTCCCAGCATGGTCGGGAACATCTCAGCCCTCCTGGCTGCTCTCCTACCCCCACACAACCCCTCCTCTCCCTCCTGCCATCCTCTGCACCTCCCTCTCCTTCCCCGGGGAGGCACCAGCAGAGATCTTCGGCAAAGTCCTCAAGGTTCTGGATGGGCTACCAACATCCTGTGGACAACCAGGACTCACCTTCCCACCACGGGGTGGGCAATGAGCACCGTGGGGCACCGCTATCGGCCAACCTTTCCCTCTGAGCCTTGACCCCCCCAACCCTGGAGAAGAGAGAGTTGGAATTGTCCGAAAAAGCTGGCGAGCAGAGGCCTGGGTGCACAAGGGGGGCTTTCCTCGGGCAGCATGACCCCCATGCTGTGGGCGAAGGGGCAGCAGGGAGGGATCCCTTCCCACCACCTGGAGAGCTCACCGTACCTGCCTGGGTCACCAGCACTAACGCACAACCATCTCCCACAAATGTGGGTGTAGCTTGTTGGACACCAGTGGATGCTTCCCAGAAAAGGGAGAAAGGGAAAAGGAAGGAAAAAAGCAGGTTCAACAGATGTCCTCACCTTTCTTCACCTTCTTCTCCTCGTCTCCTTCTCCTGCACCCAAGAGAGTGAAGATGATTCCCGTCTGGGAGTTGATACCCACGGCCGTCACCACCATCCTGCCAGAGCCCTCCATCACGTGGGTACCTTCACAGCAGGGAGACCACAGTGAGACAGGACACTGCCACGTCATTCCCATCTCCTCCCCAGCACTGGGACAACAGGGCTCTGGAACAGTCACTGCTCCATCATGGCACAAACCCAGCCCAGCACCGACCACACAAGAGCCACCCGGGATCCTGACCTGACAGCAGCATGGGGTCTTTATCCAGAGATTTCTTGACTTGGTCTGACTCCCCAGTCAGAGAACTCTCGTCTATTTTCAGGTCATTGCCTTGGATCAGGATCCCGTCTGCTGGCAAGAGGTCACCTAGGAGAGGAGCAAGGACAGGGATCAGGCACAGCTCAGCCCTGCCTGCCTCGTCCCGGCAGGAGGCTTCGTGTCTCAGCAACAGGACTCAAAACTCAGTCTCAGACCAAATGTAGAGGGAGAGGAAGCAACAGATGGGTGTTACAGGACAGATGGGTATTATAAGATGATATCCAATAGCACCCAAATCTTCACTGGTGCACAAAAGCATTCCCTGTGAGGACGTTTGCTCAATCAGCGCTTCCCCCATCTGGTTCTACTGAATCAACACCACATCCTTCCCAAAGCCTCCTGATACCATGACACCGTCCCATCGTCCATCCACTGAGGAAGGAAAAAGCCCTGTGTGAACATGAACACCATGTCTTGGACCAACCTCCTTCCAAACTGGAGTTGCCTGGGCTGAGCATATCCACTAGTAAACAAGGAGCAGGACCTAGTGAACATCTCCTACAGCTCCTCGCTAAGGTGGTGTTCACCAACAAGGACATGATTGTGAAAATGAATAATTTTTGAGACCAGCAGGTGGCTAAAGGAACCCAAAGCTGTGTGCAGAGCCTGGCTTAGCTCTGCTAGCCCAGCTCTGGGCTGGCAAGCACCAAGGTGAGGAAGCTCCATCACCTGTATGGGACCATCTCCCATCTTTCCTGGCCACAACATGCTGAAAATAGAGTAACGGGGGGAGCCAATGCTTCTCCTGCAGGCAAAAAGGCTGGAAAAGCAGAGAGGAGGCACCACCAGGCTCCTGAGGTGGAGAGATAGACCCCAACCACCCACCACCTCCTCCACTCACCGTACTTGATCTGCGCGATGTCTCCCACCACGATCTCGGCCACCGGGATCTGAATCACCTGCCCCTTGCGGATGACCGTGAACTTCTGCTCCTGCTCGATGCGGCTCTGGAGGCCCCGGAATTGCTTCTCCTTGCTCCAGTCATTGAAGGCGGTCACCAGCACCACGATGATGACCGAGAACAAGATAGCCGCCCCCTCGATCCAGCCGGCCTGCGACTCGCCCTCGTCCTCCACGCCGCCCGCCGACTGCCCGCACACTGCAGTCGGAGGAGAAGACTTGTTTGCACAAGGAGACACCACCTTCCTCTGAGTAACACACTCAGAGCAGAGCCTGGAAGACAATTACTCCTCCCTCCTCCTCCCTGAGCTGGTCCAAGGGCTTCCCCTGCTCTCAGGAGAGGGTTTTTACATCCCTGGAGGCATTTGGTTTTGGTTGTTGTTTTGGGGTTGGTTTGTTTTTTTTTTTTAACCTTCTCTTTTTTTTTTTTTTCCACTTTTCATTTTTGGCAGAGGTTGGGCTGAGAGAGCTGGGACAACTGGCTTCTATTTCCAGTTGCAGCACCCAGCCCTCCCTCCGCTGCGTGACCCTGGGGTGAGTCACCATCTCCTTCCATCTCCAGATCCCGGCCCCTGCTCAACTCCTCTGATGATACAGAGACCCAGGACTGGGGAGAAGAAACTCAACCAACGCTGCTCCTCAACCACACATGGGGTGTCACGGCTGGGAGGAGCACTCCCTGGCTGGGGAGAGGTACCGGGGGACAGACAGCCTTGTCCCTCCATGGCCAAACCAAAAGAGAAGCCCCACAAGACTTGGGAAGCCACCAGACCAGATGGACTCCTTGGCCTTTGAGCATCTTTTGGGGGGAGCAGTAAGGAGCAGCTCTGAGCCATGGTGTGGTGCCAACTGTGCCCAGACAGATCCATCAGTGCAGGGACAGTGCACATCCCCATCAGGGACCATGCCAAGGACCCCAAGGATGGGGACAAGCCACCACCTAAAGGGTGAGCAGAAGCAGCTCCCAGCTCCATCTGCACCAGGGTGGAGGGACCCACAGGGTGACCTTCCAGAGACAGCACCCATCCCAAAGTCCTGCTCCCTCATGGCTGGGCATGGCAACTTGTGTGGGTCTCCCACTGGGCACCCCACCACCCTGCAGGGACCCCATGGACTCACATTCATTGTCACCGCCCGGAGGGTGGTAGAAGGACAGGCCCAAGGAGATTATGGCTGCGATTTCCAAGATGATGAGCGTGACGTCCTGGAGCGCCTCCCACACTAACTGCAGGAACGTCTTGGCCTTTTTGGGAGGAATGAAGTTCTGACCGAAGACCTGCCGCCTCTTCTCCAGGTCGGTGGGGTTCCCGGACAGGCCTGGAGAGGGGAGAGATGCAGATGAGGGAAAACCCCACGGCTGCCCCACAGCCCCCCACTGGGGCCAGCAGGACCCCCGCACGGAGCAGCTCCCCGTCTGCAGGGGGGAAGCCAAGGCAGGGCTTGGCTCCTGTCACCCGTGGGGCAGGGGACATCCAACTGGTGGGGCAGGACGCTGCCGGAGCTGCAGGGAGGACGCCGAGATGCCTCTCTCCGGCACAGCAGCCTCAAAGCGCCCGAGTGCCAGTTAATGCCAGTTGGCACTGGCCGGCTTGTTTACATGCTGCATCAAATTAGCCGTAAATCTGGCACCGCGAGCGGCGCTCGGAGCTGACGGAGCCACCTGATCCCTCTTCTCCTGCCAGCGCCGAGGAGCAGCCGCTGCGGAGAGCGACTCGGCACAGCGGGAACGTCTCCGAGCTCCGCCGAGCCCCACGGACCCACCACAACCCCCAGGAGATGGGGCAGCTCCTGGTTGGGGGGGGAAACTGGTGGAGGAGACACGGGGCTGCTGCTGGAAAAGGGGTGGTGGGAGGGAGGAAAGGAGCAGGAGAACACAGAGCTGGGCTGCTCGTCCCTCTGGCTGCATGCAGCAAGCCCAGAGAAGGGGGAGAAAAAAAGAAGGGGGAGAAAAAAAGAAGGGGGAGAAAAAAAGAAGGGGGAGAAAAAAAGAAGGGGGAGAAAAAAAGAAGGGGGACTCTGAGCTCCTGCCCCCAGGTAGCCAGGGACCGGGGACTCACAGCCCTCGCATCCTGGGACAGGGGCCAGCAACATGAGATGGCCAATTCCTCCCCAGTCCCCCCCTGCATTAAAGCCATTAAAAAGCTGCTGGGGTCCCAGGTGAGAGCAGCCTCCCCTGCCCAGCACCACCTTAACCCAGCCCCGCGCTGAGCCCCCTTTCTTGCTCTCCACCTTAAGATGGCCCATGGGGCTACTGCCAGCTCCCGAGATGCACCGGGCAGGCGGCCCCAACGCCTGGCCCTGGACACATCCTGGTGCCTGGAGCAGCCTGGCAGCGATGCCATCCCGGGGGGACCGAGCCCTCCCACTCAGGGGACACCTCCCTCCCCACCAGCTCCGTGCCATCCCAGCCGGGAGGAAGCAGCAGGATGGATCCCATTGCCCCCCCTCCTCAAAGCACCCCACTTTCTCCTGCAGAGCTGCAGGGAGGGGGACACCCTGCCAACGTGTCCCCACCCAGCTGTGACGGGGCAAGCAGGATCCTGGGATCTCCTGACCCCCCCTCGACGGCCTCCCCGAGCCCAACCCATGCGGGAACCCTTCCCACACCCCGACGTCTCCGGCGGGAGGGAGGGACGGATGGAAAATCTGGCTAACTAACTGCTGTGATTTGACTCACGCCGGCGCCAGGGCTGGGGAGGCACAGCGTGTGCCGCGGGGCAGGCGTGAAACGGGCACACACACACACACACACACACACGCTCCTGCACGAGGACGCAGGAGGCTGCCACGGGGCACAGGAGGTGGCACACGTGGTTCCTCCAAAGCCCACGTCCCACCCAGAGCTGTTCCTTCCAATCCTCCTGGGGCAACTTCTGGAAGAAAGGGGTTTTCCATAAATCTCTGCTGACGCTGGGAAAAGGGTTGTGAGGAGCAGAAGCTGTGGGCACACACCCCGGGCATGCACCAAAGGGTCCAGGTTGCCAGCAAATCCCTCCTGGTCGGGGGCACTGCAAAGGGCCTGGGGGGCACTGATTAGTGGGGGGAGCACACTAGAAATTTTGGATGGAGGGCACAAGCGACAGCGGGAGAAGGAAAGCCCTGTGCAGTCACCCATCCCCGCTCAGAGGGGAGGCACTGCAGCCCAGGAAAGCTGCTTTTGGGGGAGCAAAGCCTTCAAAAGGTAAAGAACCCCCAAAAGCAAGGTCCTGGCTCAGGAAGGAGGTGGTGGCAGCCCCGGGAGCCGCTACCAGTGAGTCAGGGCGGTGTTTGCTGACACTCCTCACCCAGGGGACACCGGGAAGGGAGACGCTCTAATCGGTGACTCACAGAAGCCGCTTACGCTTCAACCGCCACCATCACCACCCCGTTCCCCTTCCCACCCCGGGACAGGGCTGGTGCTAATCGGTGACTCACAGAAGCCGCTTGCGCTTCAACCGTCACCGTCACCACCCCATTCCCCTTCCCACCCCGGGACAGGGCTGGTGGAGGAGGTGGAAAGCCAGCACCCAGCAGAGAGACCCCCCCCACCACCATCACCAAGCCCCTTTAGGAGGAGCCCTGAGGGTTTGGGGTCCATCCACATCTTTTAGGGCAAGAGCTAGAGCAGCAGGTCCCAGTGGACCCCCCACAGTGATGCTGGAGAGACCCTGTCTGAACAAACCCTACGAGGACAAATCACCCAAGGGACCCCAAGGGGCGAAGGCAGCCCCTGGGGATGGGGGGGGACTTCAGCATCTGGATGCCCCATCCCTGGAGGGGTTCAATGAAGGCAGCCCCTGGGGGTGGGGGGGACTTCAGCATCCGGATGCCCCATCCCTGGAGGGGTTCAAGGCCAGGTTGGAGGGGGCTTGGAGCAACCTGGTCTGGTGGGAGGTGTCCCTGCCCAGGGCAGGGGGTGGCACTGGGGGGGCTTTAAGGTCCCTTCCAACTCTAACCAGTCCATGATTCTATCTGCACAGGGCTGCCAACTGCTGTGACACACACCCAGTGCCCACACACACAGCGCTGCCCCATCCCATGCCCACAGGTCCCACAAGGCTCCTGGGTTTTGGCCTGGCAGTGCCAGCTCGGGAAGGGTTTGCAGGCAGAGGGGGGCTCGGGGCCAAGTCTGAGTCAGCCCCAGCTCCCCCCAGAGGGGCTGTGACACACACCCAGTGCCCACACACACAGCACTGCCCCGTCCCAAGCCCACGGGTCCCACAAGGCTCCTGGGTTTTGGCCTGGCAGTGCCAGCTCGGGAAGGGTTTGCAGGCAGAGGGGGGCTCGGGGCCAAGTCTGAGTCAGCCCCAGTTTCCCCCAGAGGGAAACAGCCCCACACCACACGTGCCAAGGCATAGCTGGCATTCCCCAGATGGCATCTCTCTCACTACACCCCGGCTGGGGCATCCCACCTGCAAGAACAACCTGAGCTCACCCCGGGGTGAGCAGCCACCTGGGCACCCCGCTCCCCGTTTCCAGGCTTTGCCCACGGATGTGTCGGGGCAGGGGATGTGCTCCCGCTCTGCAGCTTCCCGACATCCCGGGGTTTCCCTCATCGTGGCACCCTGGCAGTGTCATGCCAAGTATTGGGCTCCTGGGGAGCCACCTCTGGAGAGGCAGCCCTGGCACAGCAGGATCCAAACGCCCTGCTCCGATGGGATCGGAGGAGATGCCACAGGCTGCCTTGGGCTTCTTCTCTTCCTAAAACTCCCAGCTTGTAGGAAATAATCTTTCTTTGCTCTCTGAGCTCAACAAGACAGGGTTTGGGACTGGGCACCTCCAGAGTGAGAGGGTGAGGCAGGGATATGCTGGGGGCATGGGATAAAAAGATGGCAACTGATGGCTGCCTGGAAGCAGCTCCTGGGATTGAAGGGCAGCCCCTCAGCTCACCCTCAGAGCCCCTCACCTCACCCTCAGCAAGAGCCATCAGGCCAAGGCAGAGCCTTTTGGGTCTGCTTCCCCCCCCAACACTTCTCCTCCCACCCCCAAAGGAGCTCGCTCCCAGTTTGGCAGAGCCAAACACATTGTTTTGCAACCTGGACTTGGTATTTCCACCGGGAGTTCCCCCCCTTCTCTAATGACATCCCGATATTGTCTCCCCTTCCCGGTCCCACTCACAGCTGGGAAAGACGCTAAGCCCCAGCTCAGGGCGCTAATAATAACCCACAGTGTTGGGAGCCGGGGGGCAGCCACGTCCCCCATCCCACCCAGCCCCCACGGGGCCACATCCAGGGAAACCCTCGGTGCTGTAACCAGGGGGTCTCTCCCCCCTTGAACCCCTTTTAACGCCAGGGAAGGGGTGCATCTCCACACCAAGGCACCCGCAGCCACCCCACACTGGGAATCCCAGCGCCTGCCCCTCAATACAGGGGTCCAGAAAGGCCACCCGGGACCCCGGGGAGGAGAGGTGACATCCTTCCACCAAAGCCTCCCAGATGTGACCTGGCAGCACCGCCACCGCTCAGACCTGTGATGCTCAGAAGCACCCAACCAGGTTTGAAGCTCCCACGGCCGCTCAAGAAGCCCTACAGATCCGGGGGGATGCCACACACATCTCCCTGTCCCCAGCAGCGATCCCCTTTGGGGACGTCCTGCCTGTCCCTCGGCTGAGATGCTGACACCCTGCAAACGAGCTCCGAGTAGCCCAGCAACCTTCAATCTTTACACCCTCCTACGCCCGCACCCCAGGCAGCCCTGCTGGTGCTGCTGTCAATTATTAAACAGGGAAAGGCTGGCCCCGACCTGGGGGGCAGCAGCTGGGCTGTGGACATCAGCCCCCCCTGGACCCCTCATGTCCCGTCAGCTCCTCACCCCCACCCACATCCCACCTCTGCTCCATCCTCCCTGAGGATGTGGGGCTCCGGGCAACGCCTTGGGGTAAAGATGTTTTATTAAGACACAGGGAGTCATCTCCCACGAGGCTTGTGATGGGAGCAACGGGACCACGCTCTGAGCTCGGGCACAGGAGCTATTCCAGCCAGCCCCCTCCAGCCCCCGGCTTGAACCCAACCCAGAGGCACCACCTGGACCCGAGCGGGTGGTCCCCAACCAAAGGCTGGCCACTTACCTTCAACTGGCGACGTCTTCAACCTCTTGCAGACATTCTGCACGCCACCGTAGGAGTCATTGAGCCGGGCAACTGCCTCAGCGCTCCTCAGCTCCATGAGGTTCCTGAGCTCCACCATGGAGCAACCAAAGTCCCCCTCATGGTTGCCTTCGGCAACCGAGTTCCCGGGGTGGTGGTCGGCCACGTTGTTCGTCATCTTGCCGGCGCGGTGGCGGCGACGCCGGCTCGCGGCTCCTGTAGCAGCTTCCCTGGAGGGTCCGGCGGGGGGATGCTCGGGGGGGTCCCTTCCCTGGGGGCTGCCCGGGTGAAGCGGGTGCCTCTAACCGAGCCCAACTTCTCCGGATAAAGGTGTAAACAGGATGTGCATGTTACCGCGGAGGCGACCTTAGCAACGACCAGCGTGCATCTCCCGCAGAAGGAGGAGGGCTCCCTGGATACCACAGCAACTGGAGCTGCAAAAACAAGGACGGGAAACAAAAATACCGGCATTAGAAGGTCTGGTAATAAATACACTTGCCCCACGGGACGGGCGAGCGGGAGCGGCAGCACCCAAAGGTGGGCACCCACCAGAAATAAGGGGGTTTGGAGGTGCCTCTTGTTCACCCAGCCCTGGGGGTCAGTGAGACTTGGCCAAAAAAGCCTGGAAGAGCAGAAGCTGGACTCGCAGGGAGCTCAGATGGGTATTTCAGGGGTGCTGGGCCACGCCGCGGGGAAAACCGGCGGCTGCGGCAGCGCGCGGGGCCGGGCAGGAAGGGCGCCCAGGTGGTTCTTCACTCAAACCCCAGCTGCCCGGCCCAGAAAAAAATAAAAAATGCTCCCATTCAGTTGGGTTTAAAAATACACCTCGGCAGTGGAAAACAGCTGCTTCCTCCCAGGGCTGCCGTCCCAGGGCGGGAGCTCCAGCTCTTCCACTCGGCCAACAGGTAAGAAACAGCACCTCACCGAGCCAGCCTGCACCCACGGGAAGGGGGTCACAGCACCCAGCGGACTTTAAATCAGCAGAGAGACCCGTCAGGAAGCAGAAAAGCTAAGAAAACCTGCATGCTTCTCTAAAATTAAGAGGTTTTTGCATTAATGACCCCTTTCAGGCTCCATTTCTGCAAGTTCTCCGTACCCTGCTTGCAAGCTCTCGTGCCGTTCCCCTCGATGGCAGCGAGTGGGCTCAGCTCTCAGCACCCCAAACCACTGCCAGCAACAGGAGGTGAGCCCCAAAACCACTTCAACCAGCAAGATGCAAGCACCGTGGCCAGGCAGGGACCACGAGCATCCCATGGCTCCCTCCTTTCCCCAGAGACCCCCACTGGCATCCGGGGCAGAGGGGACAGGCGCCAGGGACATGGAGGGAGCAGGATGGG